AACCATCTTAAGGGGGCACAAAACCTTACAGCAGTTATGTAGGCTGGTGGGTTATAGGGGAGGGGGTTAGGAATGTTGACCTTCTGGTGTTACAGACTGGGAGCACCACGCCAGATCTTTCAGTTTTCATTGATGATGACTATCAGCATCTGTCTGTTCTGAGGTCATCACATTCCTAAGGAACTCAAAAGAACAAAGTTATCATCTTATCGCAGCTGGGAGGTACATGCACAAGCAGGAGTTGTAAAATCTACAGAGCAGTTAGTGCATATCCAGCTGGGTTAGTTAGTCAGAGGCTATTCAAAGTTACAGTAGGGTTTCTTTTCTGCAATATGGCTTCCCTTATGTCAACATCGTATTGAGCCGGTATCATTATTATTTATTTGATATAATACCTATTTATTTTGATATAATACCTGAGTTTTATTTCAGCTTGGGAGTGTTAGTGTTGGTATTGACCAGTCACCTAGATGACTAGATGTTGTATATTTCTTTTTTATGGTGTCATTTCCTAGTTTGCAAAATCAAGAAACATTCCTCTGAAACTGGCTAGCTGGTTTGGAGGTAAAGCAGTTGTTTCTTTTCCTGTCAGTCCTTCACCTCCTTACCCCTAGGGGAATCAGGATGTCCCATGTTTTGTTTAAAAGCCTAAACACTTCAAACTTTTATCCTCCTGTTAGGTTTGAAAGGGGGACGTTATTAGCTCTGTCTTGATGTAGCAGGGGCTCTGAAAGTCTATTTGGATAACACTGAAGATTGGAGGAAATGTGACTCTGTCTGTGTGTTTTAAGCCCCTAAGGTAAGATCAGAAAGCGTCTGGGGCAGTGAGAGCCAAATAGTTGAAGTCATACATTAATTATGGTCATGAATCATTTTTATTTTTAAAGTCTTTACCATTTGACAAGGTTGTTTGCATAGTACCAGTGAGTTTTAGGCAACATTTTCCCCCTTTTAAAGTAACAGGCTGTTTTATTGATTTCTGCTGTGGGTTGATAATGCCTATTGTTATTAGAATTCTGATAGCATTTTTAATAAAAATTGCTTGTTTCCATACCTGAATGAGGGGTCTTTAATTTATGTGATTTTTGTTTTGAATGTAATATTTTTTTTTATATAA